GCCATTGTAGTATCGGCTTTGTTTGTGTTCTTGAACCTACCGATTAGCTGTTCTGCAAATGTCTCCCACTCTTTGGGTTCCTCCCATGCCTTCACCTTCCTTTGCCACCATGTCTATGCAGTACCGGTGAGCAAAGTGGAAGTATATGCAACCTGCTTTTGTGAAGATCCTCCAACCAGACGGAAAAAGTTCGACACCTGACCCACCCAAACCTCAGGATCATCAAATGTCCTGCCAGAAAAGGTTGGGGGGTCCTTTGGTTTTATTTGGACGTCAAAAATCCCAGCCCCCCTGTGAGTGCACCTCTCTGATGACTCGCTCAATGATGTCGTGTCTGTATGGGAACTTTCAGAATGTGCATGCCTCGACCGGTGTGATCTGGACCTCTGTCGTCCTGGACGGGCAGCATGGCTGGACTGTGCAGGGGGCATCGTCTGATCGCCAGCATCAGCAACAATCTCCACCTCTTGCTCCAAATGCGGAGGTCTATTATACGGAACTGCTGCTGGTGGCTCTGGGGGTCCAGGCACAGTCTGCTGACGGGGCTGAGAATCCTTTTGCGACCGCTCTATAGCCAGGTCCGCGGACAGCTGATCGATCCTAGATAGAGCATCATGGAGCTGCCTAATAAGCCGCTCCACAATCGCATCCTGTTCCCTCCTCAGCCTCCGTTCTGTGTCTGCATTTCTCTGCCTTTCATGCCCCAATGCATTCTCCAGCTCAGCAATTCTGTCAGCATTGCTAGAAACATTTCTATGCATTGTGGACATAGCGGTCTCAGTCCGCCCAAACGCCTCCATGGTCTGACCCTCCAAATGCGAAACTGCCCTCTGAGATGTCTGGGCAGTATGCTGCACTATTGATGCCGTCTGATCAGCCAACACATTCATGGCATGTGCTGTCTGGGCAGCAGTCCCTGCTATCGCCTGTGCAGCTCGCTGCTCCAAGTTCTGCATCCCCTGTGTAGCTTCAGTTCTAGAGACCAGGGCTCCCTCTGGGCTTCCCAAAACCACTGCCCCTGGTTCTGTCCCGGCAATCAGAATCCTCTATTGCCACGCCTCATATGACGCAGCAATAACTCCTACACGTCCAGCTCCTGTGGCTGTCTCCACTATCCCGTCGATTTCCTCCACACCATCATGGCCATTCAGCTCCATCAAATCACGATCTGCTGTGATCCCACCCACGACACTGATCCGATGATCAACTGTACTGAAACAAAGTCAATCGGTGTAGACCTGATCTCGGGCTACTGAAAATCCACTGAATCCTATCCCCAAGTAGCCAAACAACCTTTACCTCCCAACTTAAGTTATCCTACTTCTACTAGTTTTCAGTAATCACTTTCACACACAATTACCCCCAGTACTCTGCAGGGTGACCTCTCGGTCCACCTGGTAACTTTCCAGAGGGTGTGTCTGTGGCTACTAATAAAAACTTAGTCCCAACGTCAGCTAGACACCTTAAGAAGGTGTTCCTTGCCTGGAAGCTTTGGCGGGTGCATTGCCCGTATCAAACCGAAAACTATGCCAGGTTATAACCAATTATAGCCTTCCAGGCGGCAGCCATGAGAGGTTGCATACTTGACATTAAATTGGATGTTTACCACTCGTCTAAAGCTTCCATTGCCATTGCTACTATTTTTGTTTGTTGTCATCACTGCGACAAGCAGTTCTTCATGAAGAACTAGTTTGCGCGAGGGGCAAAGCTTGTTTGTTATATGCACCCTCCACTAGCGTGGTGTTGAGGCTATCAATATAATTCAGTTGCCCGATTAGGGGTGATTAGACTGCGCTATCTCTAAGGATGATGGCCAGAATAGACCACCATCCTTTATATTTGCAATGTAATTTAAACCCGCGGCTCTCTTTTGAGCTGGTGCTCCTTCCAAAAGCCCAAAAGCATCTCAGAAAATCCCCTCATTTGGCATGCTAGATAAGGATTGAATAACTTTGGAGGTACCATGATATTTTTCAATGTTGTAGACAGAACCTCTTTGCTAATATCAAAAAACATCGTAGCATCTTTATTGGTCAGTGCTATTGCACTAGTCGTGTTATATTGCAATGCTTCTCATTGGTTATTGTGCTACCATACTAGAGTAGCAGTTGCCAAATAGCAACTATGTTATTGCTCCCTTGCACGCATTCCCAATTGTGGGTGCTATTCCTACACCAAATAGCATCAAGACACCACTGCAATGTTCTGCGCGAATAGCACTGGCTGCTATTTTGGGGTGTTATTTAGCCTCAAACAATGTTAGTTGGAGCTCAAATAGCACCGTTCAGCACGAATAGAATTGGGGTGCTATTTGTAATGCGCACCACCTTTACAATATGTTTTATTATCACTTGATCAATACTTTATTAGGAGGGTGTCTGGATTGGCAACGGCATCTCTAAACAGTCCCTTGGGAATGTTAGGCAAACTACAGTACTAGAGTCCTTGGTATTGTAACAAGACTATCCAGCAGGGGATTAGTTATCAGGGGTCAGAGTGACCCGCCGGCCACCAGCCGGTGTACTACGAGAGTTGGGTGCAGTATTTAAAACGGTCTGGGGTTCTTTTCCCCTCTAGGCGCCATTGCGCGCTACACTATTGCTCCCCAGCCATTAATGATGGTTTTGGACATGCGATGCTATTCGGATAGCCCAATAGCAACCCCAGGACAATAGACACACCGACAAAGATGCTCTCAAGGAAACAAAACGGTTCTGAAAAATCTGCCATGAGGACTACATGCGCACAACTTTCATGCTACGTGCGCACAACTTTCATGCTTCATCACCTATACCGTGTAGTCGGGCATGACAACTTTTCAGGTGTTAACACAACAACAACGTTGTTGCAAACTGCACTTGAGAGAATATACGTCTAGACTTCTCAAGTCGAGTTTGAAAATGCAGGTACACACGTTTCAAATTTTGAAGATTCCACTGATTTTGCCTGTTCTTGATAGTCTTGTCTTGTCCGCGTCCAACAATCGGCCGCAGCTTCATGTTGCAGACACCCTCGCGCAACAGTCAGGTGGCGCCAAAACCAGGGTTGGGCGCGTTGAGAGCGGTGGGCCCACGATGGCGACGCAGAGCGTGGTTTTGGAGCACTTGCGGAAAATGCTGAAGACAGTGGACGACACCACAACCGAGAAGCAAATAAGGGCCAAGCTGGCAGAGGAGCTGGGCTATTCAGTGGACGAGTACAAGAGCGCCATCAAGGCAAGCAGGCTATTGGGCCCGCAGGGTCTGCCAGGGCCCCAGAGTCAGTAGCAGGGGTCTGGCGGCAGCCACCCCCCTTGCAAACGGCGCTGATGGTCCCGCTCTGCCCAACGAAGCAGTCCTTAGTCTTGCTAAAAGGGTGACCTGGCTGCACTACAATCGACGTGCGTTTGAGCGACAGCTTGCCGTGTATCGTGCTTCTTGGAAGTCCCTGTTACCGCGGCGGATGTGTTGCTGTATTGCCCTCGCACCCCCTTGCATTGCGAACCCCACGCCATATGCAGCACAAAAGGCAGGGTGGTCGGGCCGCGGAATGCATAGCCCCCCCTCGTTGTCAGCATCTGCGGGATCGCGTGACGCGCGAAAGCCCTCAGCTGGGCAGGGCGCGGACACAATGTCGACGAAATTGAAACTGGTGACCGCAGAAGGAGTGTCCATGTTTGACGGGTGTCCTACAACCACAGGCCGAGGTGTCAAGTTATGTTGAGAAGCTGGCGGAGAGCCACAAGAGGAAGGCGGTAGATGAAGCAGAGGGCGCCGAAATTGAGCCTCCACGCAAGGCAGCCAAGACACATGCCAAGCAAGGTGCACGTTTCTTTCCTCTCAATTCTCAAACCTGTGCAACGAATTGGACTTTTAATTTGCTGCCAGAGCGTCCCACAGCTCATCGTTTCTGGGTCGAAAGATAACGCAAGTGGTGGCCGTCAAGGAAAAAGGCCACTTTTGGCGCTGCTTCCTGGGCATCCTGTGTGCATGTTCTTCTTGCCTATGACTTGCTTGTGTTGTGTGCTCATCCTTGCTTTGGAGGCTCTATATCATCTTTTCATAGTATGGAACAGAGCCTCACATACACTTGCCTAGGAGGTGTGCCCTTTGTATGACCTGTTTCTCTTTCTCTTTTGTAACAAATCTTACTCTGTGTGCATTCACAGCTTTCACTTGTACCTGAGCTGGTTTTCCCCCTTGCACTGCTTGGATGAATGTTGTGGTGGTTCGATCCTCCTCATTGGTGTGCCAGTTATTTAAATCTGCCTCAGTATTTTCTGCTGCCTGTTTACGTTGTCTGTTGGATAGTGCAAACCTGCACCCTACATGATTATCTCTGATCAAAGGAGTGCAAAGCACCTTATATGAAGCGTATAAAGCACCACTGTGGATTGGGTGCGAATCAGAGCATCGTGTGGGTAGCCAATTTGGTGCTTAGGAACGTGGGGATTGTTGCCAACTTTTCCAATGCATTTCTAACAGCCATTTAATCCCAGCTCCAAGCATCCTTATCCGCAACTTGCCTGCAACACTGTTGGCAGTGCCGCCATATGTTCTTGGTGAAGTGTGGCCACCTTAGAGGACTGAAGTTCTCTGACACCTGGGCCATGTGTTATTCAGCAACTTCCAAGGTTGTCGGGGGTGGTGGTGATGAAAATTTTCAAGTCCTGCTTAGTGAGAAGAAGCGCGCAACGATATCTGTGTTCAGAGGCATTGCAAGGGTCGATCTGAGGGAGTATTTCCAGGTGAGGGATGGGTTGCCTATCATGAGGAGTTTCTTTCAGCAACAATGTTTTTGTGAACTGAGAGTGTCTTATGTCCCAGTAGTGCCATGTATGCCAACCTGTGGATATGGCATAGGCGCTGGATGGGGGACTGTCCCTGCCCATCGTCCCTTGCCCTGCATCTTTGTCTGGCAAACAAGTGCCAAGTCCCCTGGTCACTACCCTGTCCAGTGGCTGTTGCAGATATTCGCTCAAAGATGGACTCAGGATGAATATCTAGGCCCCATCCTTATGTGAACCTGTGGAGTCCTCTTATGATGACCTTGCTGCACATGACCAACCACAGTGCCTGCATCAAATTTAGCGATAAATGTGCACAACAACACTGCAGTGCATCTACCCAACCACCCATTTGTTCATCCCATGCTGGAGAGAGCGAAGTAGGACACACCCACAAGTTCTCTTCAGAGATGTGGGCCCAGCAGCGCGAAGGTATCGTCAGAAGGGCTGCAGGAAAGCCATGAAGGCAGTCGATCTGTGCTTCTGTCCTGTGAATGTTCATACAGTCTGGTATCGTGAGAGATTCCAGGTGCTTTGGGATTCCTGATTTCCGCAGTGGATGCCGGGAGCTGGTCGCTGTTTAACAAACCCCTCACACTCTTGGTGTTTGCAGAAAGAAGGGTCCTGGCTGCCCACAAAGAAAGGCATCAGCTTGCCACAGGACCAATGGAACAAGCTGAACGATGAAGCACAGGCGATCTCTGCTGCTTTGGCAGCTGATGACACTGACTACCAGGCTACGTTGTCTGACAGGTGAGACAATGTGCTATAAATTTCAACGTTGATCATGGAGGTTGACAGACTGCCACCGTTGAATGGTCTGCATTTATTCTGATGGCCAACGAGTTACACTTCGATGCGCAGTTGTAATATGCAGAACGAAAATGGTGCAATGGACTGTGCACCATAGTTTTGCTGTGCTGGTCCATTCACACCCTTCTGTTTACAGTGATGAACCCAAAGAATGGAGCATCGGGACTGGCTTATTCTATGGAATCATGATTTCAGAGCCACATGAATCTTTCAATCAGTGTGTGTCTGCAAAAGGAAATTGTTGCTCAGGTAGTATCAAAAGTGGAGTATTTTTGCACTGCTGAGAGTACTGATGTTGTTCTTGCTGGTGAAGTAGTTTATGTTCCCTTGGTGATGATTGTTCCTGACCAGGTGCACTCGATGTATGTGGCAGGCGATCTATTACCATCAGCACGTTTAGGGAAAAGTGCTACTTACAAATTCGAGAGTACTATGAAAAGGTGTGAAAGATCCCGGCAAGCATGGTTGTGCTTCCCCACATACGCGCATTGTGTGCACTTGCAGGGAGGAACCGTGTTTCTGTTGTGCTGTTCCTTTGTTGTGCTACACAGCTGTGGCAACAAAGATCGGAGGCTGTCCTATTCGTGTCACTCAATCGCTGGTAGGAATGTTTGCATTCGATCAGTAGATACAGACTTGCAAGAGCTTCAACCCATGTGCAAGCCCCTCCACTTATCTTGCTGCAAGATTCTTCGTGGAATGAAACCAGGACACAGTCATGCGGACGTGGTTGTCAGTGTCAGGAGGCAAACGATGCACATGTGTGCTTGTGTTATGCACCAACTTCACATGACATTGTCTTTCTCTTCTTGGATTTTCTTACTGTTTCCAGGCTGTAGCCGGATGGAGCTGAACTCGATAATCACCGTGGAAATGTTATAGTGTTATGAACAGCGCGTTCTTGTTGCTTTTTCCTTCTTGTCCCAGGGCTCCGTGCTGGAGCGCCTATTTGTACAGTTGGAACAGTGAGGATTACGCCTTGTCAAGTGTAGTTGACACTTCAACAACTGGCCATACTGCATGTGCGTATGGCTGTGCCAAGACTGCTGCAGAATACAATATGTGCCATTGCCACCCAAAAATAATCAGTGACTGCATGTGGCCACCCGGTGGTTTCTAATTGGGGCTGTCGGGCAGGCTGCCTACGTGCAACCACCATTCAGATATGGAATACACAAAACCCATTCTGCACCTTGGATTTGTGGCTTGAAACTCGATAGCTTCAATGATTGTGGCACATCTGCTACAGGATGGTAAGAAGCAACCAGGAAAGACTGGTATCAGCCTGAACTTGCAGCAGTGGGATGCTCTGAAGAACAAAATGGGGGATCTGGACGAGGCACTGAAGGCATGTGTCTGAGTGGTGTGCCCACTACCTGTGCCCAAGGCAAGCGGCCAAAAAAATGACCTCTGAGTGGAAGGAAGCTGTTTAACATGTTTGTGCGGGCAAGTTTGAAATATAGGTTCGAAAGTTTTGGGGGCATTGAGAGAACATAGTATGGCTTGAGCAACGTTGACGATGGGTACTTCCCATGTTTCACTTTCTTTGCTAGCCATATACAGGAGTGTTGGGTGTACCATGGTGGTGCATTGCAGTGGCCTCCAGCCCATGCTGAGCTTGGAGCCAGCAAATGTTTCCTGCCAGGAACCAAGAGATGATGTTTTTACTTGGTGACTCGCAGCCAATTTGGTGTCACTTTTAAGAAGCTTGAGTGAGTGCTTGCCCAAGATTCCAGCCAGAGAAGAAAAACTGAGTTGGATGCTGGGTAGCATGGTCCTGCATGTCCCTACTCTGCTCCTAGTGTCACAGGCTGAATGCCAAGCAATCTTGAGTTCCTGCCTAAGTTTCCAACCCAGCAGTTCTATAGAGGGATTGTTGGAGCTGATGTGATGCTCCTTGACATGTGCCAACCAAGCCACAAGGATATCATATCACCCTTTTTCCAAGCTGGCACAAGATATTCACAACTGTGTGTTTGGTGTCTGCCTGTTTGCACCACTCCATGTTCACTTAGCCCATTGTGTACTTGTAGTCAACATCATAACTTGGGAACCAGACAGGGATCGTTGTGCACCTCTATTGCACTGGCAACTCAAATTTGCAACATTCGCATTGCTACCACAATGCCGAAAGTATGCTGTACCTGCATATGTTTTATCCAAAAAGAATTCTTGCTGCACCTGGGAGGCATAGTGCCAGCAGTGGAGAACCATGCTCTCCAACCAGACAACATGCATGAAAGTTTGGGTAGGTTTCGACGATAGCAGACACCGACAGGGTGGGCGATTTGAGGTTGTGTTCTGGGTTCGCAGTTTTGGGCTTGAGTTTGGGATGGCATGGTAAACACCTGCAGCAAAGAGGACAAGTGCCTGCATTCACTGACACAAGTCATATGCTCCTACCTTGGGCTGCTGTTGGCTCATCATCTTCATCACAGCTTCTCAAAAACAGCCACTGCACCTCCAAGCAACAGTCTGTCACCGATACTCCCAACCACCTTGAGAAAGTTCTTATCTACACGGATAGTCTTTGCAAAGGTGTGGAATATCAGCTACTTTTCCAGCGAACGCAGAATCTACAAAGAGTACATGGCAGAAGTGTCAGCTCTCAAACGCGGGGCAAGGTAAGAAAAGTGGTGAAGGAGGTCGGGGTCCAGCCCCTGAAGTAGGAACGAATGCATACAATTCATTGTCTGAGGGGGATTTGCATCACTGTCCCTGCAGGTATGCAGCTCTGTATATGCCCATTTCCACAAGCCTCAAAGGTCCCTCAGAGCCAACTGGCCGCTTTGCTGAAAGACCGTCATGTTCTCCATCGCAATTCTGGCCAACAGAAAGTCTGCCAAGTCCATGGGGATAACTGCAAAGGATGTCTGGTGGGCGTGCACAAAACAGCGCAAACCGCTACATGCAGAAGTGCCGCTGACATAGCAATAGAGCAAATACAAGCAGGTGCGTATGCCTCAGCAAGGACCAGAACCCTTCATGCTGCTGGGCTATGCCGCCGCAGAAGAGGGCAAAGCTTCAACTGCGGGCATCATAAGCAAAGATCCAGAACATTTCAAACAACCATTTAGTATCAATTCAAACACTCAGTCTGCAGTCTGAATTGGTGTGAATGGGGCGAGTGACGAGTTGAAAAAAACACGTGGGGAACACTCACTGTGGATGCACAAGTGCCTGTCATCGTCAAAAAGGCGCGAGGCCCCTGTTTCGCCCCAAACAGCCAACTGTAACCACAGCGCACTTCTCTGGTCAAAACGCCAAAGCAGAGTCGGGAGCAGCTTGTAGCTAGATTCTCACCTCATTCTGTTGTGCAGTCGTCGTGACTGCTGTCGCCAATATTCGACACAGGTGCTCTCGCCGATTGACCACCTGTAGTTGCAACCTCACGCTGTCACCTGCACACACGAACTTGCAATTTTTCTTGCCCAATAGCAGACCGAGGAAGACCCCACCACAAGACATCCCAAGAGCAGCACTATTCAGAGACCTGGACGTGGGTGCAGCAGCATTTTCAGTCACGAAAACGTTCCGCCGGTGACAGGGGATGGGAAGAGAAGCTGTCAGGACAGCTTACACCGTGTTATATAACATATGTGTTTCTTCAAAACAGCGGTAGTGGGTTTGCGAAGATGTACAAACGTACCCTCCGAAAACCATCGCGCCCAGGAGAGCCCGGAACAGAGCCTCCGGCTGATCGCGAGTGAGCACGTTCACTTCCTCTCCCTTTCCTTTCGCTCCCTCGCGCGATCCCTCGAGCTCGTTAGCGATGCATCCTTGGCCAGTAGGCCTGATTCAAGAAAACGTCCGTCGTGCAGTGCCGTTGTATCGAGCACGCACTCGCAGCGCGAGGAACCCCACACATGTCCACCGGACCATGCACGTTCAGACCCTCGGAACGAATTTGGCGACTAGCAGCCGACAGTCGAGGCAACCCGTCGAGGATTCCTTCTCCTGCGGGAAGCAAAGACACAGCTTTCAGCGACATGACATTCGTCATGCTAATTGTCGTATTGCAGCCAGGGCTGAGCACACAGACCCGCCCCCGACTCAGCCACTCCATCGTCCACCAGCTGCACGGTTGGGATCAAGGGGGGCGCAGACACCGCGCCTGCACCACTGGGCGCCACGATACCCGTGGAACCAACGGGCTTTGAGCGGGTTCCACACCAATAACAAGTTGTACGATTCGGTTGGCAGGCGATGGCCCACCCTAACCCGAGCGCCAGCCACCGATGCCTCTTCAGCCATCTCTGCCGTTCCTCAAGCTGACGACCGCCCCCCCAGCCGTCAGCAGGCCCCGCGCACTCCCATCCCGCCCTCAAAAGCACCCGACACGGCCCCGCTCCGCAGCGTGTGTGTCCGCCCTTGTGGGCATACCAAAAAAGTGTGCGGCTGTGCGCGGCGAGTGACTCACCCTTGGGGCGGCGGCCCCAAAAGTGTTGCCTCCGAGTCACGCAGGCGCCCGGTGCTGGCGCACCTGGCCTCCACCAGCCCGGCAGCCTCCGGGACGCATGGTCAGACCCGAAAACGGGCTCTCACGATTCACTATAACGCCCCGCCACCACCACCCCCGCGCATCTCGAGACATCACTGCGTCCTTGCCCTGTCCACCCTCCCCCTCCTTCCGCCTTCGCACCCCAAAAACCGGACGGCCACGCCTGTGCGCCGCCGCCGTCCCCGCGCACTGCCCACCCGCCACTAGCGCGGTCCTGCGACCCTCCCCCCCCTTCAGCCCACCGGGCTTGGCCCCAGGCGCGCGCCGCGGCGGGCGGGGGCGCGTTCATGATGAACGATCACCCCAAGACGGTTGAGGAGATCTTCGAGGACTTCCAGGGGCGGCGAGCGGGCCTCCTGCGCGCCCTGACGGACGGTGAGACCCCTCCCTGCGCTCGACGGCACCCCCTTGAGCCCTTCCTTCGTTCCAAGGTGAGCCCCGCCGCAGGAATCTGATGCGTCTTGCGCCCTGCCGTGCCCGCAGAACTGGACGACTTCTACCAACAGTGCGACCCCGAACGGGAGAACCTCTGCCTCTACGGTGCGCCTCACCCCTCACCGAGCTCCCTCCAGCGGGAATTTAAGCGCCGGGCGTTTGTCAGAGGGCGTGGCTGACGGGCTGCGCCGCTGCGCGCGTGTCCGCTCCCCCGCAGGCGAGCGGGATGGGTCATGGCAGGTGGACCTACCCGCCGAGGAGGTGCCGCCGGAGTTGCCGGAGCCCTGCCTGGGCATCAACTTCGCGCGGGACGGGATGCAGAAGAAGGACTGGCTGGCGCTGGTAGCCGTGCACTCGGACTCCTGGCTGTACGCCGTCGCCTTTTACTACGGCGCGAAGCTCGACCAGAACGACAGGTAGGGGGAGGGGGGCCCGGGGCGCCGCTGGGCCGCCGACGCGGGCGCGATAGCGCCGGGAATGATGCCGGCCGGCGGCCTGGCGGCCGATCGCCGCTGATTGCTCTGCGTGTCGCCGCCGCGGCGCAGGCTGAAGCTGTTCAGGACCATCAACAACTACGCGACGTTGTTCGAGACCGTGACGGGCAGGGCTTCCCGGCCGAGGACGGGTGGGCCGGGGAGCAAGCGGAAGAAGCCGGATTCGGTGAGTGGGGCGGCGCCGGCCAGCAGCAGCGTCGGGCGCGCCATTGCGCCGCGGGGCGGGCTGTGTGTGTGTCCACTGGCGCATCTGTTTGATGCCTGACCTCATCGCTTTTTTGGTCGTCTGTGCGCTGCTGGCACGGACGCCCGCCGCCCTTGGGAGCCATCCTCTGGAGCGCGATTGTCAGCGCGGTGGGGGCGGTCCCGCCCCCTTCATGCTGCACTCGCGTCCGCTCAATCGCCGCCGCTGCCCGCAGGGTCTCCCCGCCCAGGCCAGTGAGTCACCGCTGCCCACCGGGCGGCTCCTGGTGCACGACGACATCACGCCCGCCCTGAAGGGCCGAGACGCCGAGGTGAGGCAAGACGGCATCCCGGGCGCGCACGAGCCTTGCGGGCATGACGCGCCGATCTCCGCGCCGTCGGCGCGTTCGTACGACAGCCCGCGGGCCTTAGCACCGGCGCTCCCAGGGCGCCGCAGAGCCCGCCCGATCGCGCGCCGAGCCCCATTGATGTCTCACGGCCGTCGCTCTGTCTGTTTTTGCAGCTGTTCTGGCCAGACGACAGGTTGTGGTACCTTGTCCAGATCCAGAACATTAACGCGAGGAGCAAGAGCGCCAGGTACGCAACTACCCCTGCGGTTGGGATTGGGGTGTGTGGAACCCGGGGAGCACCTTGGCGTGCCTTATGCACTGGGCCTTTGCGCTTCCCCCCTGGATGTTTGGAGCCGGTGCCCAGCAGGGCGGTCCGACCGACGTGGAACTTCTGCTGTTGACGATTGTGTTATTCCCGCCCCCATGTGATTTCTGCGCATCAGTCCAGTGGGCGGTCTGTCCCAGTGGCGCCTTCCCTTGCAGGCTGCCTCTTGTCAGCTGCTCGGGGGCGGCTCTGAGCTCACAGCCCCGAAGCCGGCCGTCAAACATTCCTCACGGAATTCTTCTGTTGGATTGGCCCCGGCAGCCTTGTCCCCTCCTGCGCTCCAGAGGATCAAAACCCGCGTCTTCGTATGCTGCCAATCGAAGGGGTCGTGCTGTCTCTCCCACTCTGTTTCCTTTTGCGATTCGTGGGCGTCGCGCTGTCGAAGGCGTCCTGCAATGTGGGCCTTCAAGCCAGCTCTGTATGCCTTGTCTTGTGGACGGACGCGTAACTACTCTGAGGCACTTTTTCTCCTCACAATGCCTTGTTTTAAGGACAGAAGAGCTGCCCAGACCCGACGATTGCCCGACCTCATCCCTGTCGTCCAGCTGTGTACTGTCGCACCTTTGCTGCAGCAGAGTGACAGGCTTTCACACACGATATGGTCTTCTGAGCACATCGATGTGTCGAGGGCCGTCCAGCTGGAAACTGCACATTTGCCCCCACTGGGGTGCTAGCATTATGTGCCTATTGGCCAGGGATGATGGTTGACTTTCCCTCAAGATAATGTGTGGTTGCTTTTCCACGACTTTTGATGCAGGATTGCTTACACCAGTGGTGAGACGGAGGACCTGGACTTGGAAGACATCATACGGGAAGGCCATATGTCGCTTATTCCAGAGGGATGAAGTTTTGTCGCTTGCAGTAACAAGGGCCAACGACATGCACCGCCGTTTCGACAAAAATAGGTTGGCATCTGGCAAACCAGCAGCCAAAGATACCTCAGGACGTCCCAGGCGAGGTCATGAGCTTTGATCTTCAGCAATCATAGCTCCCTCGATTGCCTGGGGGCTTTTTTTGTCTCATATATGGGGTTTTTTCACAATATCTTTGGGCCATAAACTTGCATGATGCAGTTAGGGTGTGTGTCTTCCTGCCAGTGAGTCGCTGGCTGCATGGTTTGGGAGCAGAGAGGAGGGCAGGTTTGGGATGCAGACAGGGAAGGGGTGGCCGTGGTGCAGAGGTGTGAGTTACTTTTTGTTGAGAAAGATGACGTCAACTCGTCTTGTCTATGAGTGTGGTTCATGGGCCACTCAGCGGTGCTGCGCAGCGCTTCATATCTGTGCACCCCACTTGGGATCGTGGGATGTGGTCAAGGGAGCAGTTGCTGAACACCAGGCTTTGGAAAGGGTACTGAACAGGGCTACGTTGTTGTACATTACACTGGTGCATCTTTGCAAAGAACAGTGCAAGACAGATGTCGTTCTGGTGCAGTTGTGGTCAACTCTCAGGCGCCCTTGCACTCCTGTGTTGATGCATCTTTGTTGCTCTCGCTGGGCGACAGGGCACCTATACAGTTCGCTCGAAAGAATAAGCCACCCATTGAATGCACAACATAAGGGGCATTTGACCGGCGAGCAGATGGACAACGTGAAGGTTGCTGAAGGGCATCCAACTCCTGGTTCCTGCCGCTTGGAATGCCTGCCTTGTACCCACAATCCACTCAGATGTCAAGAAATCAAAGGTTGAAGCCATGGATCAAGAGACAGACAGCCCTGCCATCAACCCAACTCACAATGGACATGCCACAAGAACGTCCCTGTCCCACTCCAAGCCAACCTCTGTTGTCCTCAAACACACCTTCAGTAGCTGAAGAAAATAAATACTTTAGTTGGCGAGTGGGCATTTCAGAGTTGCGTCTGACTGACAGACTCAGTGCTGAAAGGAAAGGAGTGCCAGGGAATGGACGGGGAATCAGGCTGGGCACCAATCCCCAGTTCCCGTACTTCTGCAGCACAACAGAATCCACCAGAAAATCTTGTTTACAGATGAACACAAGAGCGAAAATGGAAATGGAATTAACTATATCGTCAAACTTTGACGTTAGGAAGGAGAAAGGGACAGGGTTTGTGCTGAGCATAGCAGAAATTCAGCGCTCAGTGTCTGCACAGCAAATAAATAGTGCCTTCCTCAAGAAGCATGCCTTTGGGAACAAGTTCACAACGCCGCATGATGCCCATTGTTTCATTGGGTGTATTATTTGTGTCGTGTGGCTGGCGAACAGCCTGCAGTTCAGTTGTGCTTTTCACTGCGTGGGATGGCCTGAGCAAGCCACCATAACGAAAAATAAATAGAGGCGCTCAACGAAAATTCAAAAGTTCTTCTTTGACAGAACACTGGATTCGTTTGTCTTAGTTTCCTTCGGGGTACCATTTTCGACCACGCTTGCGTTTGGTTTGTGCAGCATGTGTTTGCTTGGGAGACGACTGTGTGCAGTTCAGAGAGAAATTCCTTAGTCAGATTGTCTTGTCCGCAGGGTACCTTGTAGAGCAGTTGTGGATGTCGGCTTTGCACAGCATTGCAGTACTTATATCGCCAATTGTTGTTCCCTCTGACAATCAGCGATTTCTAGATCTTGCAAATCCACAGTTGGAATGTTTATAATGACCATACGAATGATCTGAATAGTCAGAAAAACAGTATTTGACCCATGGATTGGAGTTCAAAGAGTGGACCTCTATTCTCTTTTTGCCTCATTACTCTGGTATTGCTGTGGACGGAGGTTCCGTGTTCCTGTAGACCATGGCCAGTGCTAGTTGTGAGCGAGAGGGCGCGGGCAGCATGTTTTACACGTTGGCTGCATTTGATTGATGAAGCGGCATGCGACTGAGTTGCCATTTGTTTTTTTGTGATATGTCACTAGGAAAAAAACAGACAAGATGACACAGTCCTGACACGGTCTGCTCAAAATCTAACTGTGTACTTTTGGCAAATGCGGTCCCAAAAGTGCACAGTTTGTACACACAGTAACACAGTTTCAACCGCGTACCCTCAAACAACTGTGTAGACTACACGGTTTCCTAGGATACACGGTTAAAACTGTGTCAATGTGTGTACTAACTGTGCACTTTTGGGACCACATTTGCCGAAAGTGCACAGTTGGATTTTGAGCAGACCGTGTCAGGACTGTGTCATCTGGCCTGTTTTTTACTAGTGTGTGTGGGGTCAAAGGGATGCAACAGAGGCAGGCAGGTGGCTATAAAAGAACAGGAAAACAGCCGCGATTGGTGTCGGCTTCGGCAAGGAAAATCCTTCCCGAACTTGGAGTCGGATGAACATATGTGGAAACGCGAGCTTCATGTGACCGATGCCCACAAAGCTATGTGGCATGTGTCCATCGTGCATGATTATGCGCTGCGACGTAGCAATGTACGGTGATTCGTCTTTCAGGAGCAATGCGCATCAGCGACTGGAGTCCATGCACACACCCCTCATATGTCATTGTGACGAACGATGCTGTTTCAATGCGACGACATCAGCTGCATTTCTGCATGTCTGACAACACAACACCAGAAGATGATTGTCCTTAATTTAGCGCATGGCATTCCCGTACATTTTCTGGTAAATGGCACCTTCGCCCTTGGTTGTGCAGGCACAGGTTCCCGCAGCAATCATTTCCGTTTCTTTTTGTGAAACAGTTTAGTTATTTAGGCGGCCATCCTCGAATGTATCCACAGTGCAACCAGCGAATTGGGGCAGTAATGCATCGCAGTACTGAGAGGCAAACCAGTTTGTCCAGCCGCACAAGAAGCATCGCCTCTAAACACGAGTTTCAGTAGAGGGTATGTGACTCGATCTGCATGACTGCGGCGCAGCACATAGTTTTGAGCTATGGAGATCTCATGCACTTCAATCGCGATGGCCAACAACAAGAGCTGACCAAATCGACCGTCATTGCAGCCCCCCTCTGGGTGCACAATCAAAAATTGATGGGAAAATAACATGGCAAAGGAGTGGCCATGGGGACACGATTACCTGCAAACCAACAATTGACACCGCTCCACGACGCAAGGAAGCCTGCACTGCATGACGAGCAGCCTCGCCGTGGGGCCTCCACATAAATGATAGCTAAGCCTAGGCGCTCGCCAATGAACTACACAACGTTCTATTTCTTATGCACAAATGGAACTGACGCAGTTTGAAGTGAACAAATGTTAAGAAACGGTAAATCTTTTGTGATCTGCAGCAAATTTATCATTTAGAAACAGCTCACAGACCCCCTAGCGCACTCGACACTCGCAACAAGTCACCAGAAAACGATTGGAGGCAATTTTTATTCAAAAAAGGGCGGATTAAGCCCATTTCCATTCTGAAACAAATTTCTTGTGAAAAATGATAGTAGAACAGTGGATATTTGCTTAAAACACCGCGTTTGGTATCATAGTTAAAGCATGGCTTCTGGCTCGATTGCTATATAGTGGCTTACATTCAAGTGCGGAGTTCCAGAACTACGTAAAACTGCGGAAAGCCATGGCACTCTCCACATCAATACCAAGATTGAGAGAAATTCCGAACCAGGACATTGTAGAGAAAGCCGACAGAGCCATTCTACCTTCCAAGAGAATTGGACGCACGATGTCCCAACAGCCCCCAAAAGGAAGGTTAACCGTTGAGAGCGCAAGACAGTTGTTCTCAAGCGCGAGAAGTACGTTGACATGCCAAAACAGGAGTGCGATTGCTTGTTGGAAAACTATCAGCACAACACCACACTGGGAGAGCCATCCCATTGTGGGCCACTCCCTTTTGTGTTTGCAGGCCAGTGTTCGGAGGTGAATTTCCCGCACTGTTGTCTGGAGATTTTGTCATGGTTGGCAAGACACTTCAGCCCAGCCCATTGGCATGGATGCCAAGGCACAGGTTGTGCCAGATGTCCTTGATCAGAAGTGTGAGCATTCGCTGTTTCGGCTGCATCTTTTTCGAAGATGCTTCGCAATAAACGATGTTTGTTTGCATAAAAGTCTTGTCATGTGGGGTACAGCGCGTGTGAGTGGCCCAGGAGACCGGTAAGGAGGAATTTTCAGTCATGTTTTTTTTTGTTTTTTATTTTTCTGGTGATCTATCTACCGCTTCAGGTGATCAACAAGATGGCAATTCGACCTTTTCAATATTGAGGCATCTTTATCAATCGATCTACAAACTGGGGTCCTGTGGATATCTAGGAGGCCTGGGAAGTCTGCAGTTCTTCACACTGCTCGAAACACATTGGGACAGTGTGTAGCCCATGAAGTACCATATGGCACTGGCACCAAGTGCGGCCGTCGTGGCAAATCCCGCTCTTTCGGTGTCTGTAGAACCTCGATTTGAATCAACAGACCGTGCATCGCAGCTGTAGAGAATCACTGCGGTGGCCGCTCCAGATGCCTCTCCCCATGCTCTGCATGTCTCAGATGTCCCGGCAGAACTCGTTCAACAATCTTAACAAAATATTTACAAAGGTCCCCACGATGTCGTTCCCCACCACACTGTCCACGTCCAACACATGCCCAAAGTGCATCACATCATACAATACTGGCAGTCGTCAGACGTTGAAACAATCGCCACTCGTTACCTTGGACAGCATACGGTCTGTCCATGGAATGGCCTCCATGCTTTCGTGTTAAGTACTCGGCCTGCGCATGCTTGGGACAGGTCCACAGTGGCATGCGTTTGCACAGATAAATCCCACACAGTATGTCCTCTCTTAAGCCATCCGAGCCGTTGGCAACAGCTCCTATCAATCGTGATGAGGGCTAGCCCACTCGTATCACATCTGTTTTGTATCTTTCTCAAAAGATTGTCCTCTCTACTGAGGAGAACCGAACTGTGCTCCACCTCCAGTTCCTCCGTGCAGCAGCCCTCACCTCCATGC